TTGTGTGTGCTTTGATGATACAAAATACGTTTAAGTCACAGATCGTATTCATGCACCAAATACCGAAGAAACACTAGCCAATGAAATTTAAATCAAAGATTAGAAATAGTGCAACAACACTGCACGATTCACCTCTCAAAATTTATTCAAAAAAAATTATTTTCTTGTACTCTTTAATCTCCTGTTTAATGGGGGGCTCAACTGTCGTGTCACCCATTCTTAAGTTTACACGTACAGTAATTGAATCATACACAAAATGTACTTAATCTCAGTGTATATAAAACAGGTGACAGAAAAGAGAAAGAAATCAAAAAAACATTTTCACTTTAAAGGGGTTACAATAGTAAGAGGAACTGCAAAAATGGTTCATTGTCCAAAGTAAGAAGATGTTCACTTTAGAAAAGTGTTACTGTACTTAATGATAATGTCTGATAAGCTATTGTTTATCTGATTTTTATAATTAAATACAGAATTAGTTTTTATTTTAAAAAACTAACATGAATTTATGATTGAAAAAAGTAAATGATTCTTAAAATGATGTTAAGTATATAATAAAAATCGAAATAATGATAGACAATGTATATTTAATATTAATAGCTATATTTGTTGTTGATTCATTTGGTTTATTTGTCGTTAATTCATTTGGTTTACTTGTTGTTAATTCATGTGGTTCATTTGTTCCCCAAACATTATCAGTTCCGAAATATTGAATTGCTGATTGTTTACTTTTAGTTGTTATACCAGCAAAATCAATTTGACTAATTTTATTTAAACATGAACGATCAGGTTGAAATGTTGGTGAAAACATATATGTTACAGCTAAATTCCAACCACAATTTCCTTCTTCGTCCGTCATTGGTGCTGCATCTATATGTTTATTATTTCAATTTTAGGAATTATGAAAAATAAAGTTTACTTGTAGTTGTATGTCCTGTACGTGGCATTTCAATATAAGTAAAATTTGAATTTATCAATGAATATTGTTTAGAAAAATGTCGTGCTATTGAAACTGGTAATGCTGAATCCATATCACCTTTATTTATTATATATAATTATTAAAATTTATATTTAAATAATTAAAAAAAACCTACCATGTAATAATAAAACAGGTAATTTTGTTTTTTTTGTTGGATATTTTCTATAATATTGATCAGTTGGATATCCTAATATTTGTTGTTGTTGAATAGGACAATAAATATCAGGCATAACATGTGTTGCTACAAATGTATTCATTGATGATCCTTGTAAATAATCACAAGATGGATTTTTTTCCTGAGAATTTAAAGGAGACCATAATTCAGCTAAATTATTATTTAATTCAACTAATATTGAATATCCTGGTGCTTCATCTTCATTTGGTGGTTGAGTAACATTTATAAAATGTCTTAAAACATTTTTATCATCGAAATTACATCGATTTATTCGATAGATTAAAGCAGTAAAAGTTGCATCATATTTGGATAAAAAATGTATGACATCTATAAAGATTTTTTTTTTATTTTAATTTAAAAGAATTTTTTTTTTCTCTTTACTTTTTTTGCAATATCTGTCGTTGTTATTTTTAATTGATAAAGACAAGATGAATTTGTTTGAAAATCTTCATTCATTTTATAAGTATAAAGTGCACGCATTGGATTTTTATCTTTAAAATATTTTGAACATCCTTCTTCATCTTGTGAACAACGTGAAAATAAATCTAATAATATATAATTTAAATATTTATCACCATGAATTAATCGTGTTATATCAGTTGGTAATACAGAATCAAGTATGATACCATCAACTTGTTCATCATCTTGAGTTATATAAAGATATCGTTGTAAAAGATAAGTTCCTTGACTTGATCCCATTAATATAACACGTTGATTTGATTTTAAATATTGACGATTATTACCAATAATTATTTTAACAACATATTCTAAATCACGTGCTGTATTTGTATATGTATTTTGTTTTAAACGATATTCATTATCTTTTATATATGGTAAACAAGCTGTTAAATTTTTAATTATTGATCTTGGACATTCTAATAAACTACTTTTACCAACACCACGTTTATCTGTAACATACATTGATACAGAACCATTTAATGTACTAACAACACCAATTGCTTCAAATTCTAATGTAGATACTGGAATACCACCACCACCTATCAATTTATATTTATTAATTTATTATTCTTTATTATACTAAACATACCAGGAATTCGCCATAAATGATGAGAATTATTTTCAAATCCAAAGATAAAATAACGTTTAACATATATTTCAATAGTTTGTGTACATGATGTCAAATTAGTTGTATTCCAATTAATAGGAACATTTAACCTCCTGGGGACCGCTGTCTTCAGACTGAAGACAAGCAGGACTGGCGAAATCAATCAAGTTTGACAAATGAAAATGATTGGTTGAAATTTTTACAGAAAATCAAACGAATTTTTCTGCTTCTGAAAATGTCAAAACTGCCAGGTGNCAGGAGGGATCTTTGGCAATAGCCAATAGTGCAGTTTTGGCAATTATCAGACATCTTATCAAAAAATATTAGGCAACTAATTGATCATAGTAAAGAAACTCTACTTTCGGCAATTATTTTATTTCGTGAACTTTGGGCGATAGATGATTCCCAATTCTTATAAAACTGTACTTAGCATCTCGATAGATTCTGTTACTTACCTCTTTCATCATCAATTCAAACTGTATGTATTATTAGACGACATCATCATTCAGAAGGTCTACTAATATTGTTCAAGGACTTCCATCAACTTGAAATCACAGAATGTCCAAAGTGTGGTTTCTTTACTATAATTAATTAGTTGATTAATATTTTTATTAAGATTTCCGATAATTCCTCAAACTGAACTATTGGCTATTGCCAAAGATCCCTCCTGTTTAAAGTCGAAAATCTTACAAAAACACAACTTTTAGCAATTGCTGAAAGTCAAGTGCGAAAGTCAGTACGGCGAAATTCATGCTACCCTACGAAACAACTAAGAGAAAAGAGAAAGAGGCCCAAAAAATATGTTCACTTTAGAAAGGTTTCAATAACAAAAATCGCTCTGTCGGACCCGACACTGTTCATAATTACGAGATGTTCACTAGTAGAGATTTTACTGTATCTAATCGATATGTCTGCTAAACTGCTATTCGTTTGATTCTTATATTTAAATATTGAATTAGTTGTCATTTTAATAAACTACATGAATTAATGATCAACAAATGTAAATGACTATTAAAACGATATTAAATATATAATAAAAATCGAAATAAAGATAGACAATGTATATTTAATATTCATAGCTATATTTGCTATTGTTTCATGTGTTTTTTTTATACCCCACACATCATCAGTTCCGAAATATTGCATTGCTGCTTGTTTACTTTTTGTTGTTATACCAGCAAAATCAATTTGACTAATTTTATTTAAACATGAACGATCAGGTTCAAATGTTGGTGATAACATATATGTTACAGCTAAATTCCAACCGCAATTTCCTTCTTCGTCTGTCATTGGTGCTGCACCTATATTTTTATTATTTCAAGTTTAGAGATTATCTAGAAAAAAAATTTACTTGTAGCTGTATGTCCTGTACGCGGCATTTCAATATAAGTAAAATTCGAATTTATCAATGAATATTGTTTAGCAAAATGTCTTGCGATTGGAACTGGTAATGATGAATCCATATCACCTTTATTTATTATATATAATTATTACAATTTATACTTAAATAATAAAAAAACATACCATGCAATAATAAAACAGGTAATTTTGTTTTTTTTGTTGGATATTTTCTATAATATTGATCGGTTGGATATCCTAATATTTCTTGTTGTTGTATAGGACAATAAATATCAGGCATAACATGTGTTGCTGCGAATGTATTCATTGATAATCCTTGTACATAATCACAAGATGGATTTTTTCTTGAGGATTCAATGGAGACCATAATTCAGCTAAATTATTATTGAATTCAACTAATATTGAATATCCTGGTGCTCCATCTTGTTCAGGTGGTTGAGTGGCATTTAAAAAATGTCTTAAAACATTTTAATCATCTAAATTACATCGATTTATTCGATAGATTAATGCAGGAAAAAGTTGCATTATATTTGGATAAAAAATATATGACATCTAAACATATTTATTTTATTTTTAAATTCTTTTTTTTATTTCTCTTTACTTTTTTTGCAATATCTGTTGTTGTTATTTTTAATTGATAAAGACAAGATGAATTTGTTTGAAAATCTTCATTCATTTTATAAGTATAAAGTGCACGCATTGAATTTTTATCTTCAAAATATTTGGCACATCCTTCTTCATCTTGTGAACAACGTGTAAATAAATCTAAGAAAATATAATTTAAAAATGTATCACCATAAACTAATCGTGTTATATCAGTTGATAATACAGAATCAAGTATAACTCCATCAACTTGTTCGACATCTTGAGTAATATAAAGATATCGTTGTAAAAGATAAGTTCCTTGACTTGATCCCATTAATATAACACGTTGATTTGTTTTTAAATATTGACGATTATTACCAATAATTACTTTAAGAATATATTCTAAATCACGTGCAGTATTTGTATATGTATTTTGTTTTAAACGATATTCATTTTCTTTTATATATGATAAACAAGCTGTAAAATTTTTAACTATTGATATTGAACATTCTAATAAACTACTTTTACCAACACTACGTTTATCTGTAACATATATTGATACAGAACCATTTAATGCACTAACAACACCAATAGCTTCAAATTCTAAAGTAGATACTGGAGCACCACCACCACCTATCAAATTAATTTATGAATTTATTATTCTATATGATTTTAAACATACCTGGGATTCGCCATAAATGATGAGAACTATTTTCATATCCGAAGATAAAATAACGTTTAACATATAATTCAATAGTTTCTGTACATGTTGTCAAATTCGTTGTATTCCAATCAATAGGAACATTTAAAAACATACATTGAGCATAAACATTGTTTACTGTTACAGTCTAAAAAAAGGATTTAAATATATATATATTATATGTTAATACATTAAATAACATACTCCATCAGAAAGAACAGAACAATTTGACCAATTTGATGTAACTATCGGCCATGTATTTTAAAGGTCTACAACTTTGACCATTGACAAAACTTGAAAATATTTCGAGTAAAATTATCATCATCGATAGAAACCATTTTATAAAATGCCAATGCATCATTGTCAACTGATAATGGTTAGTATGGCTCTGTTCCTAAATATTTTTCTATTTAGTAAAAAAATCTAAAATAAAAATGTGTTTGTCTAAGTTGTTATGTGTTGCTAACAATGATTCATAGAAACAAATTCTTCTTTAAATATAATCATTGACGCATATTTTAATAGCAAATGAGGACATATCAGTTAACATAATACAAAGAGGTAACCTTACTTTTTTTGGTATTTTGAAAGTACGTCACGATGTCGACTTATTAAAGCATTATTAATCAAGTAGAATAGAATTGTTTTAAGAATTATTTTTTTTTCAAGTTGCTAGTTAATAATATTTCACTGGTATTTTTCGAATTAATCGTCGCAGTGCAAATACAATCGGTTTATTGAAAAAGTGTTCAGAATTGTGAATAAGTTTATTTCTAATATAGTTATCATCATTTTAATATCTTAATAAACTTCAATAGTTAGATTAGTAAAATTAGTTTGCAAAAGAAACATACCGT